CATGCAGCTTATTCTTTCCCAGCTTTAAAGGCCAGACATCATGGGCATAAGTAATGTTAACTAGTAAGATATTAAAACAAAAAATGTCTCTGCTCAAAGAAATAGCAAACAAAAGATAAATTTATGGTACTTTGTCTGATCAGACAATGTTGAATAAAAAGTGCATGTGAAATAATCGGCCAACTGACCAGTGGTATGCAAATATGATGCAGCTGTGCTACATAATAAGGTATATAAGCATATGAAACCAACAACTCATGTCCAAAGTCCAAACTCAAGACACATCATTATCTGGGTGTGTTGCGAATGAAGAAAATGGCAGTCCAAGAACAAGCATACATGTAGCCTATGGCGTATACGATTTAAGCATCAATGTAGATGCAAATAAAAAGAAACTTTACCATGACACTGGAAATCAACTAAAATGCAAGATGGAGAAGCAAAAAAAAAAGATTTCCGAGGTAATGTTTACCGGATCAGCAAGGACTCCAAGCCCTATCTTGTCCAGTATATTACGCATAAAAGATCCACTATTAGAAGATTCCTCCTTTGTATTAACATGGCCAATCTGTAAAGAAACAAGTTCCATCCATCATCAAAGCAACAAGCATGACCAGAACTGGATCCTCTACATGACTTCATTAAGTGTACAAGCATGGCAGAACCCAGTTTCAACTACAAAATCGAAAACATCAACCTCTCCTAACATTCACTACCTCCAGGATTATAAAAAGTGTTTGTTTTATGATTGGACAGCTGATGGTGACCATGCACACCGAACAGATAAAACTGCAAGATGGAACGGGATATTGCAAACCATTCCAGTGCAACTGCTCCTACCTCGGCAGCAAAAAGAGAGTCGACTCCATTGACAGGTACAATACTACCGCCACTCAGGTCCTATAAACAACGAATGCAAAATATTCAAAAGAGGGGCTAAAGAATTAATCCCACTAGCATTGCATAACAATACAAGAGCTCAGATACTTGTTCAAATGTATCACCCAGTGAATGTGCTGGGTGCATAGAAAGTATGAGCGTCGGTTCACCATGGCTGGCAAACTTCATAGCAAGCGATGCTGCCATGCTTGTTGTCCCAACACCACCTTTGCCTCCAAGCACGTAGTACCTCTTTGTGTCGGCAACCATCTCCCCAAATCCGCCATTAACCTCCACCAGACTGGAATTGTATCTTGCTGTTCAAAAATTCAGAAATAGCACTATTAGCGTGTCCCCTGTGCTTCAGAGCAGCGGTCTGGTTTTTAAGTTATCAAATCTGGAATTCAGTAGAGAATTCGCAACCGATCATGGCTCATAAGACAAGTATGATACAGATTCCAGGCATTGTCCAAGCTCGTACAACACAACGCAACATTATCCCACAAGGAGCAATTGATTGGCATACAGAATCTGATATCCATAACATGACAGCAACCAAACAGACCAAGAACTACAACTAGCAGCGAGTAAAATGCGTGCATTCGGTTCTT